AAGCCGTCCAAATGTCCACGTCGAAGCGTCAGAGTGTTGGTGAAAACCCAGGAACAACAATTGGGCGTCGTGAACAAGGATTGCATATTTCAAAAAGCTCAATACAGCGTTTACTCATACAATATCTTCATGCTTACAAAATGCAATCAACACAACAACTGCAACCTAATGACCATGAACAGTGAAGAGAGTTCGTAGAATAGATTATTGAACATCAACAAGTGGATGCTGATTTTTCGAGGAAAATCATCCTAAGCACATGTTCAGCTTGTTGGCTTTGTAAATCGCCAAAATTGCTGTATTTGGGAATCTGTGAACCCACATGTGATTGTAGAAAAATAAATGCACCCAAAGCGTGTCACTGCGTGGAGGTACGTTTTTTTATTTTTACGAAAATAATACACTCTAGAAAAAATACAAGAACAATTATTAAAAAAAAGTATGTTTACTGCGGTACGAAGTTATATATACTAAGTGACATATAAATCCGAACACCCAGTTTAAATGGTTTTATTTTAATAAAAGTTGGTGAATGTATTTATCTTACTGTAAATAACAAGTGAAAAAATGTTCAGCCTTATCAGTTGGACATTCCGGTTTTTATACTGCTTTTTTTTAATTCACTAACGCTCTAAAAATGAATATTACAGCCGCAGTAGAGAATCAACGTTGGCGGATTTTGGTTCTTGACATCCTTTACGATCGGTTACGATGCCTAGAGTACGGAGACCTGTACGATTTCGTCAACTTAGTGAGTTTGATAGGGGCCGTATAGTGGGACTTCGGGAAGCTGGACTTTCTTTTCGGGCAATTGCAGTTAGAGTGCAAAGAAGTGTAGACACTGTGGTTAGGTGTTGTCAGGCATGGCTTCGAGAAGGCCGTAAGCAAAGAGCAAGGGGCACTGGACGCCGCCGTAGAACAACAGACCGTGAAGATCGCCGCCTAAGATTATTGGCCTTAAGGGACCGTTTCTCCACTTCAGGTCCATTGCAAGTGAATGGTTTGCAGAACACGGAAGACCTATTGACATGCGAAGTGTTTACCGACGAATGAGAAGTTTTGGCTTGTTTTCATACCGGCCACACTGGGTCCTCCCTTTAACTCGAGAACGCCGACCGCCTTGAGTGGTACAGGCAACGGTCACTCTGGGATCAGGAATGGAACAGTATTGTCTTTAGTGACGAGTCTCGATTTTGTTTAGGTATGCACGATGGTCGTGCCAGGGTTAGAAGGCGACGTGGTGAAAGGAGGAATCCACAGTTTTTTGTTGAAAGACATGTTCATCACACTGTTGGAGTTATGGTTTGGGGTGCTATAGCTCATGGTTCCAGGTCACCTTTAATCTTCATCAGAGGTAACATGAACGCGCAGCGTTATATCCACGAAGTTTTAGAACCGCATCTTTTACCCTATCTTGACACCCTGGCAGATCCAACTTTCCAACAAGATAATGCCCGACCACATGTTGCAAGAGTCACAATAGACTTCTTTCAACATAATGATGTCACATTGTTACCATGGCCACCAAGATCTCCCGACTTATCCCCAATTGAGCACGCGTGGGATATGATGGGTAGGAGATTGCTCAATTTGCAACGCCCTCCTCAGACTCTAGAAGCACTTCGAGAGGAGTTGGTGGTTGCCTGGAATGAGATACCACAGGAGGACATTGACCACCTGATTAGAAGCATGCCTAGGCGCGTTGGAGAATGCGTAGCACATCAGGGTGCATCCACACATTATTAAAGGTCAAAGGGCTTTAAAGCAGTGCAATCATTTTGAAATTTTTATCATTTACTTATTATGCTTCATTAAGTACTTAAACAAAATTTGATTAAAATAAAACCATTTAAACTGGGTGTTCGGATTTATATGTCACTTAGTATATTTTTGGCATATTTTCCAATTTGCTCATTTCCATTTTCGTTGGGACACCCTGTAGGTGCAACCAACCTCCTCAAGTATTGAATTTTGACAATCTAAATCATCCTTGTATGAAACGTTTTAACTGATACGGACAAAAAAAATGGAGTCAATTAGGTTTACTGCATTTTCCACACAACGCTGTCGATAATAATATCAATAACAATAATATTTATTTGCAAATACAAACGATATACAACAGCTGTACGCTACTTGTGATACAAATAATGTCAACCAAACAAAATTAGAGATAAAGTCTTGCTTTACAGCATATTATTCGAATCTGTCTTGAAAAATTCATCCATTGTTTGTGGTTCTAGATTTAGTTGTTTAAATGCACTTAGTTTTACAATCTTTTTCACAACTGCTGGTAAATGATTAAAAAGTTTTAGACAATTATTATAACGACGACCTTTATCAAACAATGGTAACCTATGCTTAGGATAAATATAGTTAAAAACTTGTAGTTGCTTGTAGGCTCAACTGTGAACATTCGCTTACTTTTAAATAGATATATGAGGCTCTCTTGAATAAACACTTCAAAAACTGTTAACATGCCAAATTGCTTGAATTTGCCTCTACATGATTCGTTCAACTTCAAACCTAAAATATTCATTAATATTTTCTTCTGTATAATTCCATACCTTAATCTAGATTCAAAATTTGAGTGATACACAACTTTCAAAGTTTCAGCAACAGTTCTTATAGAATAACATACCTTGTTGAGCTTTTTTCTTAAATAACATATGTATATGTTTGTCCCACCTAATTTAAGACCAAGAAATCTAGTATTGTCAGACACTTATTGTTGTACCATTAAGAAAAATTGAATTTCGATTCATAAAATATTATATTCTGTACAAGCTAGCCCCTTTTGAAAGACTAGTTTATTTAGTTGTCATGAGAATTGTTCGTTTGAACGAGTTCGTTCACAAACTACACACCACTGCTCGACTACGTATTGAAGAACGAGGCCAACGTCACTAAAAAATCCAAACATATAATTCTAGCCGTAGGTTCGTGATAGCAGAAATCCATTTCGCAACCGAAACGTCGCATTTTTCTCTTTTTTGGGTCGGGCTGGACAGCACGAACATATCATAAATTAGTTCTCTGCTTATACTCGGGTGTGTGTGCTGCCCACTATTCCGACGATCTATAGCCCGTATATACCGCCCGTAGGCCAATTATCTTTGTAGTAACACGCTATCTTCCGTATGCCAGTTGAGAGTTCAAACCTATCTTTAAAAATCGTAAATTGCAAAGGATATGTTTCTGGGAATCCATCACACTCGAACATTTTATGAACACAGTGATTATAAATTATCATTTTCTAAAGAATACTGGACAGTTATTCAAGTCAAACAAGTTTGAAATTAGTGACTACTACGATCGCCGTCCTATAAATATTTTACCAGTGCTTTCAAAACGAGATTATGTTGGACCAATTGAGAAAAATTTGTTACCAGACTATAAATCAGAAGTTAGGGAGGATTTCAGCTGCAAAACTGCACTGTTAACTGACGACATCTTCAAAGCAACAGATTCCTGAAAAACCACCGCTCTCGTGCTCTTGGACTATTCCAAGGCGTCCGAAAAACTAAATCATTAAATGTTGGTATTTTACTTTATATAGGGTTTTCACTATCAAGCTTATGTGCCACTATTTAACTAACAGAACACAATACGCAGAAACAGATAAAGGAAACTCCTCCAAAGATGCCAACCCTTCGGGAATATCACAAGGCTCTATTTTAGATCCTCTGATTTTTAGTATTCATACCTCCTACCTTTCCCAATGTCTCCGAAATTGTCAGGTAGATTTTGACGCTGAGGATACTCAGCTTTATTTTTCTTTCAATCCTAACGAGAAACGTGACACAATCGAGATACTAAAAGATTAGATGTATTTTCGGAAAATCATAGTATACAGATTAATGCCAGCAAATCAGATCTTATGTTATTTGGCAGATAGAAAGACAATATTGAGCCCACCTTTCATGGCAAAATAAGAAGTGAATATACGAGCCCCTTCCCACTTCAGTTGGCCAACTATTGAAATCTTAGTTTTTTTCTTATCAAACACAAATAATAAAAATGCAGCAGGTTTAAAATACTAACAATGAATATTTTAATAATATATAGTAGAGAACACCAACTTTATCACTCCCTAATCAAATTTGCAGCATAAAAATAACACATGTTGCAATTACAGCATATCAACCTATTTTCATTTCAATGCAAAATAAATCTATAACGCATAGGTGGCTGTGAAAAATAAAAGCCATGACAATTGTTTTTATTAATCACAGCTGTCAGAATACGTTTAAAATAGTTTTGGCTAGTTGAGGTTTTCAAAATGGGTAGAGGAAAGGCTATTAGTGAGAAAATTCGGTTACTGATAATTATATTTTTTTATTCTGGGAAATCAAACTCAGAAATTGCAACTTTGTTAGACTTATCGCGGTACAGTGTGAGAAATATCGTTAGAAGATATAACGTAACTGGTTCAGTTAATATTAAGCCACGATATGTGTAAAAAAGTAATATCGCAAATGCCGACCGAAGAGCATTAAGAAGAATAATCGTGAAAAACAGGCGTGCCAATTATTTACAATTAAGTGCTCTGTGGAGCGACGCTGGAGAATTCCAGGTCCACAACTCCTAGAGAGGCCCACAAACTAGGATTTAGTACTTGCATGGTAAGTCTTCTTATAAAAAAAAGTGAAGTAAAACCCTAAAGTTGCACAACTTGTTTATAGGTCAAAGAAAAGCCACTATTAGATGGGTTAAAGAACATAGACAATGGACACCTCAAGAATGGTGTGCAATACAATGGAGTGATGAGGCCCGATTCGAAGATTGTGTTGGTGACAGTCGCAGTAGAGTTATTCGCAAAAAAATGAAGCATTCCATGTTGACTGTCTGAAGAGAAAAGTGAAATTTCCAGCATCCATTATGGTCTGGGGCGGTATGTCATCAAAAGGAGTAGGAAAACGTCATTTTATTGATGGAAATGTGGACACAAACAAATATTTGGCAATTTTAGAAGAATCGCTTTTACCAGTGATGGAAGAATGTTTGAATCCGGCCAAGATTTTGTGTTTCAGCAAGATGGTGCAGCGTGCCATACCTCACAAAAGGCTATAAAATGGATGGAAGAAAATAATGTACCACTTTTGAAATGGGTTTCTAGCAGTCCAGATCTGTCACCTATTGAAACTTTGTGAAAAAGGTTCTACGACAAACATCCTGCTCGTACAATCACCGAACTGAGACAAAAGCTTCAAGAAATATGGGATTGTTTTTCACCAAATTTTTGCCAAAACTTGGTTAACACTATGCCCTAAAGAATTTCAGCCGTAATAAGAAAATAAAGGTGATGTTACCCAATGGTAATCTTTCAATTCTTGCTTTGTTAACTTCGCGCATTTATTCGCACATTGTTTAATTGTTCAGATGTTCTATTAGTTATAGGTCTAAGTGATTTCAAATATGTATTTTTTACGACTAGAGTGTATCTAAAATGTTTTTGAGAAAATAAATTGGTTTAGAAGTAAATAGTTTCGTCATGTTTAGTTTATAAAGGCATATTTTGGTACAAATCTTGAAGTGGGCCAACTGAAGTGGGAAGGGGCTCGTATACCTTCTTCAGCTACTGTGAGAAATTTAGGAGCAGAATTTGACACAAATTTAAGATTCAAGCCTCAGTTCAACAAATGAATGATCAGAACCTTTAGGATATTTAGGTTGCAGAAGCTCAATTTTGATAGCCGTTCGCAATGGTACGACAAAATAAAAAAAACACCTGTAAGTTAAATCGAGAAAGTGCAAGAAGCTCAGACTAAGGTCAACCGGTTTCCCGTTTGTCAGTCACTTAATGGGATGCCACCACACATGGGCATGTGTGAAAAAACGAGAACAAGTTCTGAAGTGGATTAAAGAAAGCCGCAGGCCGGCTGGACGTTCACATTTTAGATCAATTGATTTATTCATGCATTGCATCAATTTTTGTTGAGATTTAATAAAGCGTCTAGCTGACCACTAGTGTGGAATAATCTCAATAAAACTGACATTTTTAAAAAAGTAGTACCTATGGTCTGAGATCTTTTCATATCTGAAAATCAGTTTTTACGGATATTTACTACTATTGCAATGATTTTGTTGTTATTTTGCATGATAATAAAGTTACTGAGGAATAACGTAAAACTAGACGAAAGAGCCGAACTTGAATTTTTCAATTTTTGTTTTTGACCGAAATCCGTACCTAAACTGTATGTACAAAAAAGCCAATGAATGGTGCTAATCAATCAGAAAAATAGAGTGATTGCCCTCCGTTTGGTTTTTCAGTTAAACATTTTTATTTATTCAAAAGTATTGTTTTTAGCTTTTTATGTGACACAAAACTCAAAATTTCCACATTTTACAAAATAATGTTTAAGGCTGAATTCAAGATACAAGTACAACGCCCTGTAAGTTATACTCTGAATTTATTATTCCGCAGAAATAGGAATCCATATTATAAATAAAAAATAAAATTAATGTTTAGCACTCAATTTAGTTTTTTATTTTAAATGATTTAATCCCACAACAACAGGAGTCCTTTGAAGGAAAACGGGATAAAATATGACGTGGTTAAAAAAATCACCCTGCATATCCGTAAAAACTGAATTTAGAACTTTTTATTTACGAATATGAAAACGTCTCGGCCCACTATACCTATGCATTTAAGTTCGGAACACTATTTATATCTTATTTTTGAATTTTACAACAAAGATGCTAGTTGATCTCTGTGGATATGGACAAAATCATTCATAACACACTATTACAAAAAGGTACAAATAGCTACTAGCGTGCAATAAACACTGCTGAGGTTTGTGGGATTTTAATGTCTTCTAATTCTTACGCGGCAAATAAATTAACTTCACAAAATGTGAGTAGGTACTCACAAGGTGAAGTACCGATTTCATCGAAATCGATGCAGCAACTACTGGGGTTTTGAATTTCGAGCATCGACAGAGTGACAGGCAGACAGAGAGAGAGAGAAAAGAATGACAGGTACCTTCATGACGTAATGATGACGTAATCGTGAAAAATCATCTGAAATCCAATTTGGGAATCAACACCCAGAAAATCTGGAATAGCTTCATCAAAACTTGTGTGACGCACACGAAAATTAAGGCCAACAAAAACAGACGATACAAATGGAGGAACACCGCAATACAAATAATTTTGAAAATTACCCAGAATCATTCTAACATATTTTAATAAATCTTCTGGACCTTGTATACATATGTTACATCTCACATTTGACAATAAAAGTGATCTTTGAAGATTACAACAATTTCTGTCCTGAGTACCTGTTCTCCTGCTTTTAAAATAAACAATAGGTTATTCTCCTAAGCTTGAAATACTGTTACCCTCATGCTTTTAGAACAAGCCTTAGTTAGGTCATAGAATACAGAAAGTCTGGCAGGTTGATCAACACAACTCACAACGCTCAAGCCCACAAACTTAAACTATGGAAGTAGGTACTCACCTACCAGCAATTACTAGAAGTATCACACATCACACCATTCACAATCCTAGCGCTACGTATAATTATTTATAAAACTTGAAGGAATGACTGTGATAATAGCGCATAAGACTAAAATGTGAACATTAAATAAATGCAATGTGAAAACAAAAGAATGCCACATAGGATCTCCTTTCTGTCACCTGTCATTCAACCGAAACATGACAGGCACATCATTGGCGGTAGGTCTGTATGTTTGTCATCAAAATAGTTTGAGAGCAATGGAACATACTTCCAGGAAAAAGGAGAGAAGCATTTTTTTGAAAAGGTCTAATGCATATACAAGTATGCTTGAAACAAAAATAAATCTAAGGACAAGACACACTGCCAGGGTTGAGGGGGCATGTACCAGACCCATCTGTCTGGTCATGCATACAACCAAGTTATGATTTAGGAAATCAATAGCTGTATTAAGTAAACAACTGCGAAATAAACATTAGATCCATCATACACACTAAAAACATTTGATTAGTTTCATCAATCATTCCCTGACAAACTAACCGCAACGCACAGAAAAACAGCCTACTGGATCCGGCAACGTCGCACTATAAATTGGCGGGAACGACAGGTGTAGTTTAACTTTTCCTCCGCTAGATAGCGCATCAATCCAATGCGCGCATCGTAATTCAAGATGGCCGATGCCGCAAACCACACCTCTCGTCGATCAGCTGACTCCGCCTGAGCACGTGAGCGCCGTCCCCCCGCCCCCCTCTAGACCAAAACAAAAACGTTGTCATGGTTACGGCAGCGCGGCGGCCATCATTGTTGGCGCGACGTTGCCCGCTCTGCGCGAGATGTCGGAGGTCTGGGTACAGAGCAGTGCGGTCCGAAATGTGGAATAAAAAAGGGTTAAATGCTAATGAGCTGAGGCATCGTTGTTGTTTGTCAATTACATGGAATGTATGGTAAAATATCAGTGTATTGTGTATAATTTTCAGAAATGGCATCTATTGGGCTTTCATATAAAATTTTCACTTGCTTAAATACATAATAAATAGGATATACATATATACATTTGTGGAAAATGTTTTCATTTCAACTCATTGTTTCCGATACTGAAAGAATCTTCACAGAAAAATGAGTTGTTCCATTACGAAATACTTCAGATTCCTTCAAGAAATACCTCTATACGTCCTGTTTACTTTTTATGTCCCAGATGTTTGTGTTTTCTTTCTGCATTATCTACAGATATAGCTTCAGGCATTCACGTTGTCAAGGATATATAGCGTCTGTGAAATAATTTGTTTTTTTTAGATTGTTTATCTCCCGAAACAAAAAGTGAATATGTTTAATAGAAACTGCGCATTAATCCACTTTGACCAGTCATTCTTATTAGTCAGAAATCTGAATTTGATGTAAATTTGCATTGACAGGTGAAACCGTACAGGTACATCATTTTGTCAATTTATCTATTTGTTCAAACATGAGCACTCTATATCGTCTACACCGAAAAGCGGTCGTAGATTAAGTTAATAATGCTAATGATTTCAAGCTAAACCAGCCCTAAAGAATGTGACTCGTTAGTGAGATACAGTGTCTAAGTTTCATACTCGAAATCGTTATTTCTCAATAATAATAATAATATTTATTTACTTTAAAATACATTGAACATGAAACGAGTAAATAAATATAATATATCCATAGGAGGACAACGCCTGTGCATGGATCATATGTATGTTGAATTGCAAAAGATAAGAAAAATGAGAGAAAAAAAAATTATTGGAAAGAATGATAGAGCATATATTGTGTAATATTTGATATTATTCTATTAATGTGATTTTTCCCAATCGTAATAATTTTTTTTAATTTTTTTATACCTAGTGTATTGCGTAATTGTTTTAAATTATTTGGTAAAAGTTCGTACAATTTTGGAGCCAAATACAGGTGACATCGTTTCATTAAAGATTTGTTTGGTTTAGGAACATTTTTTGCGCGTAATTTATATCTGTGTGTTATGACTATGTTTAATATGTCGCGTTCACTAATAATTTTGTGATAATGAGTGATCTTATGTAAGAAGTAAAGTTGTTTAGTATCATCTACTTGTGCATGATTATAAGTATAAGTCATTAGTTGGGTATAATTTTGATTTGCCAAACATTGATTTTAAAATTGTTCTTTGAAGCACATCTATATGGTTAAGGTATGTCGTGCATGCAGCACCCGATACTACTATACCATAATGTTATGTGCGGCTCGACTAGAGCTTGATATATTATTCGTAGATAATATTCAGTTAATATACCGGTTAGAAATTTTATTTTATATGCTATGAATCTAATTTTCTTTAGTATGTAAAAAATATGTACATCTCATCTCAAGAGGGAATCTAGATAAATTCCTAAATATTTTGTAGCATTAACTCTATTGATTTTTGGATTTCATCATTTACCTTAAAGCGAAGGTGGTTATATTTTGGTAGATGATTTGATAGTGATGGAAATGGTAAAAAATGAGTTTTAGTGAAGTTAGTTGTTAATTTTCAGTTATTAAACCACTGAATAATTTTGCAAAAGTCATTTTGGATAACATCTTTTAAGGCGTTCGAATATTTCGTGTCGTGTCGTCTGCAAAACTGACTATTTTACCAGTACTATTAATTTTGAATACATCGTTTAAATAAATATTGTATAACAGAGTACCCAAAATTGTACCTTGTGGTCCACCACATTTAACAAACATTTCTTTACTATATGAGTTTAATAATTTTACTGATTGCGGTCTATTTGATAAATAATTTTCCTTTAAAGTATACATCTTTCCACGAAAACCTATTCTTTCTAAGATTTCCAAAAGTATATTGTGGTTAACTGTGTCAAACGCTTTTTGTAGATCTACAAATACGCATATGGATGGTACTTTTCCATCCATATTTTGGGTAATTTCATCTACTATACTTAATACCCCATCTGTTGTAGATTTGCTTGTTGTTTTTATATCGGAATAGAAATCGGACTGTTTTACCGCTCTAGGGCATAAAGGAGTCCATGGGATGAAAAGTGACGCCCTAAAAAACTACTAATAGAAGTTACACCTTTTCGGCAGTTATAGATAAAACTTTTTATAGCAGATGCGGTCTTTGTTGCTGCTCCAGTATGAAAAGGGCTCTTTTGATTGACCAAAATAAGAGAAAACTCATGGCAATAATACATATTTTTTATGCACATTATCCACATGTTCACAAAGTTAATTTGTTGCCAAAATACGTGAAAAGTGCGTTGCTGGGATCGCACGTGAGATCAAAATCTATGTCTAAATGAATTGTACGTTGATCGTTGAATATTAAAACAACTGCAAGAGTCTTACTGGAATCTAAGATATGTCAGTACCATGAAAAAATTCGTCTAAAACATTCTGAATTTTGAATGGAACCGATAAATTACTCTTGCAGATACAGTTATAGTGATATCGGCTGCAAACATAGTTACGTGACTTAAAGAGATATGTTTGTGTCATTTACGCATGAGATAAACAACAATGCTCCCAATACAGATCCCCGAGGCACACCCTGTTCAGCAGGATATACAATGGACATCGTATCGTAATTTAAAAAAGCCTCTAATGCTTGCAGTATGTAACTTTTGCTTCAATAACATACATGTTTGTTTATAATCAATATCAAATGCTTTATTTGGATAAATCGAAAGCATACACGATATTGGAATTTGTAGGTGTTATCATGATACCCTTGATTGTACATGTACCATTGCAAGCTTTAGAAAAGTATCCATCACCCACAGATTTATTCAAAAAGAATACCAAACAACTGATAATATTATTCAGTAAATGCATTGTAATACTTCAAGAACTCGCAAACGTTTTGTTTTTAGTTTTGTTCAAAATGGTTTGTAGTTTATCTAAAATTGTTGATTCAATGAAAATATAATTTTGCACGTAATAAACAGTGCATGACAACGATAGGTTCTCACCAAAGTGAAAACGGATACGGAAGTGGTTAAGTACAAATAGACTAGAAATCAGTCAGATTATCTAGCCGCGTTCATTTTTTCTTTAACAATACAATACACAATACAAGCACAAAATTTAATCTTTGGATACAAACCCGATACTTCAAAATTTAGATTTCAAAAATCTCTCTACAATCAAATTTTACCCTTCGATAGACCCTATTCATAACAATTCGATTTTCGCCTTCTGTTTAAAAAACCCTGCACGTTCGCTGGCAAACTTCGAACCGTCCATCCCCTTTAAAGGGTGTGTCCGGAATACCGCAACATGATAAAATACAACGGAGGGCGAATAGGGGATGAATTTGTTTGGTCGCTCATCGGCCCAATTTCATCCCTATTAATATACTTGCCGACCAGATTTGTCTTTATCAAATTTCACCAAGTGCGGTTCAAGGTCTTACAGACGATCACGAGTTAAATTTGAATAATATTGTACATCGCAAGGGTTGATTTAGTCTGCTCAATTTCGTCCCTTATTAAGACACCTGCTGACGAGATTTACCTTTATTAAACTTCAATTAACACGGTTCATGAGTTAAATTTGAATAATATTGCACATCGCAAGGGTGGGTTCAGTCTGTTCAATTTGATCCCCCGGGTTGAAAAAAAACAAAAATCATGTTTTTTTTGTTTAAAACATGCAAAATTAGCTGAAAAAGAACATGTTTAAAACACTGTTAATACATGTTTAAAACAGTAAAAAAATTTAAAAAACTATTGCCTATATTATAATCTAGCAAGGTTAATGAAGTTCCTTGAAAGTCTTATTACGATTTTTGATTCAGTTCTATCAGAGCACATCTCTAATTTAAATGCGGACGTGGGGGAAGTACGAGGGAAGTTTTCCATATAGAAACATAGTAGGCCGCGCGGATCGAACGTCAGTACTGAATCTTAACCTCACTCTTTAGTAAACTTAAATTCAAAGTTTCACAACAATACGTGCAGTGTTCTCACTACAGTGAATTTTTAAGTGTTACCAAGTCATTAGAAAAATGGAACTCAACCGAGATCATTTTCGCGCCATAATTTATTACAACTTCAGAGACAATTACCGCAACAAGAATGCCTTGCTGAGTTACTGTCTGTTTTCGGCAACGAAGCGCCACAACAGTCGACAATTTCCCGTTGGTATGGAGAATTCAAAAGTGGACGGGTGAGTCTTAGCGACGATCCCAGGGTGGGTGCACCAAAAACGGCAGTCATCCAGGAAAACGTCGATGCTGTGCATAAACTCATCATTGAATATAGACATGTGGCATCTCGAGATTGAGGCGTCCTTGAAGATCTCAAAGACCTCAATTCAAAAAATTTTAGATGAAGAATTAGGAGTAAGAAAATTGGTTTCTCGTTGGATACCCCACCTGTTGACTGAAGGGCAGAAAGCAGCCATGGTTAATTGGACTCAAAAAATGTGTACATTATTGTTGGTGGTGATGAATCGTGGATTTACTGTTATGATCCAGAAAATAAACGACAGTCGGCTGTTTGGGTTTTCCAAGATGAAGAAAAGCCAACAAAAGTCATCCGTTCTCGAAGTGTTTCGAAAAAGATGGTTGCGACATTTGTGTCAAAAGCGGGTCATATTGCATCAATTCCTCTTAATGAGCAAAGAACTGTTACTGCGGATTGGTATACCACCATTTGTTTGCCAAAAGTCATCACCGAGCTTCGAAAAATCAACCCCGAAAGAAGAATCATCCTCCATCAAGCCAATGCAAGCTCGCACACAGCCCAAAAAACAAGGCAGTATTTAACGGAAGAAAACGTGGAATTATTGGACCATCCTCCATATAGTCCCGATCTAAGTCCTAACGATTTCTTTACTTTCCCGAAAATTAAAAACAGACTGCGTGGTTCCAGTCACCAGACGAAGAAGTTGACGCATTCAAAAATGCCGTTTTTTTTTGTTTCGTTTTGCAAAAATAAAATCAATTTTAATCATACTTAAATCATACTAAAATATAAAGAAACTTGAGTAATTCACAAGCGAGAAACATGTTCTAAACAGTTTAAAACAAATTGGTTTAAAACACCTTCATTGTTTCAAACAGTGTTTAAGACACTTGTTTTAAACACTTTGATTAAAACATAACAACCCTGTTCATTCCCTGCTTGGTGAAGAGATATTACGTCTCCGCTAAACGCAAGTCGTGTAGAGATTCAAAAGTTTTTGATTAAATGGTCACACGTTTGTATATAGTTTGTCCAATTCCATCTCTTATTAATACATTTGCTGACGAGATTTGACTTGACTGAACACGGTTCAAGGTATTGCAGTTGATGAGTGAACGGTTTGAATACTTACTACATATCACAAGAGTTGGTTTGCTCTGACTAATTTCATCCATTATTAATATACCTGCTGATCAGATATGTCATTATCAAATTTCAATGACCAAGGTTCAAGGTCTTACAGATGGTCACGAGTAAAACATTTTTGCTTATCACAAGAGTTTCTTTGGTCTTCCCAATTTCATCCGTATTAATAAACTTAAGTGACGAAATTTGCCTCAATCATACTTTACTGATCAGGGTTCAAAGTCTTATGATCGTGAGTTGAACTTTGCGATTTGTAAATTTATTGCATATCACAATTGATCGGCCCAATTGCATTAACGTACAGACATTTGTGTTATTCCATATTGTTTATCAATATATTTGCTGACAAGATGCAAGTCAATCCAAGGAATTCTGAGACAATCCAATGGTTGCTAATTTAACAGATTTTCTAGGAAATTTAAGTAGATCTAAGGATTTCCTATATGATCCAGAAAATGTCGAAGAGGATCCAAAAATCCCCAAAGAAATCCAAGAACATCTGAGAGATGTTGTCCTTCAATAAACTGATTATGAAGTCCAAAAACATGTTATGATGTTCGGCAGTTGGTGCGGAAATTTTAACAAACAGGTGAAGTTAAAGACTTGGCAAGGTCATGCAAGGCTAGGTCCGTGTTCGAACTGTTCCTATTCCGGAAAATATCGAGAGTTCGTGAAAGTGTGGTGGAGCGCCCTGAGACGTCTACCAGACACCGTTCTCAAGAACTGGGTATTCGTCGCACGTCGTTATGTACTATTTTAAGACTGCATTTGCGGCCATACAAAATTCAACTCAAGAACTACAGCCTGGTGACCATGAAAGTCACCGACAATACAGTCATGCAATATTGCAGCTTTTTTTTCGCACTAGGACCATTGCGTTCCATTAGCCAGATCCAATCTTTGTATATGTACGTATATCTAATTTTGGACAAACACACGACGTCACAACATCCATGGCTTCGAAAATGTGATTTTCGAAGGCGAGATTCGAACTCGCGGCCCGGCCGGCCGGCTGATCAGTAGCACGACACTCTGACCCACCCGGCCAACCGAGGTCCCAATATTGCAGCTTATATAACCAAAATAACGATTTTTACCGACAACTGATAACACTGATCAACAGCCAAAAAATATCCTAAATAAAATCAACAAAATATTACTATTTTTAATGTGCTAAAACCGGAATGAAACTTATTTTTTCAATATTAGTTCAAGTTTTAGAGATACGGTAATTATCTGTGTTCATGCTGTGACAGTGTTAATATACTGTAATTCACAAGAATGCACGTGCTACATTTTTATATTCGGCAAGGAAAGATGATGTAATCGGCATGATTGTGTTACGTTATACATACGTGTACATTATATTGTTTTATATTAGCCATTTTTTCCTCAGTTGGCTGACAGCGTTCATGCAAGATGTCTCGAAAGTGTGTAATCAATCCAGATCAGTTTTGTTACGTGTGTGGTGATGTGACTTTTGCGTCTCAGAGACGGTCTATTACTCCACTAATAACAAAAGCATATCAGCTTTATTTCGGTTGTAAACTAGGTGATCAAGACAAACAGTGGGCACCCCACATCTGCTGTAATATATGTGTTTCAAGTCTGAGGAGCTGGTTAAATGGCAAAAAACGGTCTATGCACTTTGCTGTCCCAATGGTTTGGTGAGAGCCTACAAATCATATTAATGATTGTTACTTTTGCATGGTACCTTGTGTTGGACAAGCCACAGGTATGTCCAAGAAAAAAAAATCTACCCAAACATACCATCTGCGATGAGACCTGTGTCTCACAGTGACGAAAATCCTATTCCAAAACCCCCAGAATCCTACACTTGCGATTCAGAAAACGAATCAGATCATGGCGATCGAGTGATTCGTCAGGAAGAAGATATGCCATCAACGTCAAGAGATCCTGATTTTATACCGAGCACGTCATGCCACCAACCGCACAAAATAACACAGTCAAAATTAAATGATCTTGTAAGAGATTTAGAACTTCCAAAATGTAAGGCAGAGTTACTTGGATCAAGACTGCAGCAGTGGAACTTGTTAGAAGACGATGTTTCGGTATGTGTTTTTCGTAAACGCCACAAAGACTTAGAACCATTTTTCAATATGGAGAATAACTTGGTTTTCTGCGGTAACATTAACGGCTTACTGGCGGCTTTAAATATAAACTATAACCCAGAAGAATGGAGATTGTTTATAGACAGTTCAACATGAGTTTAAAGGCAGTGTTATTGCATATTGGAAATATTTTACCATCTCTTCCTGTAGGGTATGCAGTTCACATGAAAGAATCATATGACAATATGAAGTACCTATTGACATGCATAAAATACGATGAGCACCAATGGCATATTTGTGGCGATTTGAAAGTTGTTGCACTTTTACTTGGGCTGCAGCTAGGCTACACAAAGTTTTGCTGTTTTTTGTGTGAATGGGACAGTCGGGCAAAGGCACTTCATTACACCAGACAAAACTGGCCTGTTCGTCAATTCCTAGAGCCAGGTCAAAAAAATGTACAGCATACGCCATTAGTAGATTCGAAAAAAATTTTATTACCACCACTGCATATCAAGTTGGGTCTAATGAAAAACTTTGTCAAGGCATTAGATAGAGATGGGTCAGCTTTTCAATACCTGCGTCAGAAATTTCCAAGACTAAGTGAGGCAAAGGTTAAAGAAGGTATTTTTGTTGGGCCACAGATTCGAAATATTTTGAAAGATACACAGTTTGAAACCACTTTAACAGGTATTGAAAAAACTGCTTGGGATGATTTCCGTCTGGTGGTCACTAATTTCTTGAGAAATAGAAAAGCTGACAACTATAAAACCCTTGTCAAAAATATGCTGTCATCGTATCAAAAGATGGGCTGTAATATGTCTCTTAAGATACATTTCCTACACTCACGCCTGGACTTTTTTCCTGACAATTGCGGAGCCGTAAGTGATGAGCACGGCGAACGTTTTCATCAGGATATTTCAACAATGGAAAAAAGGTACCAGGGAAAGTGGAATCCTTCCATGCTTGCAGACTACTGTTGGACTCTTGGTAGAGATGCTCCAGAAATGATCAATAAAAGAACAGCAAAAAGACAGCGCATATAGTGATTCTTATAAGTATATGAATCTTGTTACTTTTTTTAATATATCCTTAAAAATAAAAAGTTTTTTTTCTAAACCGCAACTAATTTTTTTATTTCATTATCATTTTTGGATTCAGCGCCCCAAAATTAACAAAGAGGTGCACTTTTCCCACAAGATACAATTAAAAAACTAAAATTTGTTGTCCAGTGTAATGAGCGATGAAGCCCAATTCGATATGAACGGAATTGTCGCATCTGGGCATTAGAGAGCCCTCGTGTCATCCATCACCGTTTGGTATGGAGGTGTCACTGGCCCTTGCTTCTTTGAAGACGCTGCAGGTAAATTCTCTTACTGTCACTGGCGAGGGCTACCGTGATATGGTGCAAGACTCTTTGGCTCCTAAAAACCAACAATTTAAGCTGCAAAGCATGTGTTTCCAGCAGGACGGAGCAGCTTGTTCACACAACTAGGGATACAATGAATCTTTTGCGAACAATATTTCCGGGACGTTTAATTTCTCGATTTGGTGATGTCAACTGGCCACCAAGGTCACCGGATTTAACAGCTCCTGAGTTTTTTTTGCAGATTTTTGGAAAAATGTCAACAAAGCGAATACTGTAGGGCAGCCGAAGATCCATATTACGGAAGCGATTGAAAATACTCCTCCCGGAACCTACCAAAAAGTGAAGGAAAATGTATTCAAGTGGGCTCAGGTTTGCGCGGCTCCTAGAGGCTGATATTATTGTTCATACATAATTTCTAAGTTTCAATAAAATAGTAAGATGAAAAAAAAATATTTTTTTTGATTCATTTCACAAATATTCAAGATACAAACCAGTCAGATACATGTCGCCCACCCTGTATAAATGTGTGCGCTGTATTTAACTATAAGTATCTTGGGTTGATTGTCCCATTGAAAACAGCTTACAAAATAATATGACTATATCATTCCCGTGACAAGATAGCTCGAGGTCGATAGCATGTGAAGTTCAGTATTTAGTCGCTAAGCACTGACCTTGCAAGATCTGAGCATAGGCCCACCCTACATGGACATGTTTGTCCGCTATATCAGCTTGAGTCGTTTCACCTGCAAGTGATATTAAGAAAAATGAACCTGTCAATTTCTCCTGGGCGCCACCGATTACCGATACTGTGGCGCCTACTATTAGAAAGCGCAGGTGCAGTTTCACTGATAATCCAAGGTGTAGCTCAAATTCGTCAGTGTATCAGCTGGCAAGTGGCAAAAATATCTGCATCCGGAACAAATATAATTTTGGGCTCCTCATTTTTTTATCCTTGGCCCACATACCACCATATCACACCACACCTGTCAGCCGCACCCTCAGCACCAGCGCGGGCGCTTCCACAACGGAAGACTCCATCCCCTTTAGGCTGTCCTGCACAGAAACAGGACCACAGCATATACAAGCGTACTCAGCAACGCAACTCCCTAAAAATACACTGCATTTTTAGGGCGGATCTCTATAGCCTTGTGTACTCTACACACACTTAACCATGCTTTCAACGAGTCCGTTCTTTTCGACAATCGAAGTCGGTTGCTGGGATTAGTGGTGGCAGATCAAAAATGCTAAAATCGATAGACGATACGCATAAAATGCACATGTTTTGAGTTTTTCAGAAAACCGTACTCACATCTTTGCTTATAGTTCGCCTGTCTTCAAGACTAGACCTATGCAATATGTTTGGTCACGACATACCGATATTTAAGAGGGGTATTTTTCAGCTGTTTTTATCGACAAATCCACCCCTACAATGTCCCACCTCATCCCGCTTGAAATGGCTGCCGTTTTTATTTTTACGTTACAATTACGGTAGTGCATGTATCAAAATTGGAATACGTAATTGTCACAGAAT